TATGGTTTAATTTGTTGAGATGTATTGATATATTGTAGGTTAATAATGCTGTTAAATCTATATCCATTGACCTGGGGTAATGCATATAGATAGTGTTATGATGAAAATGCTTTAGGCGTTTAAGTATACTTATTGAATTAGGACAAAAGGAGAGGTTGTTTTTGAAATTTTGATATCTCATTGTGTGGATATTGATGAGGTGCTCTATGAGTCCAATTGTTAAAAAAACCTTCATTGAGTATATGTTATCTCTTGGAGTGGATTATTGAGTCTTTTCTAGAACCTTAATTGATGTAATATGTGGGTCAGGTTAAGGGATGTCGATTATAAGTGACACAATATATGGATTAGGTTGAGTTACACTAATTACAAGTAACTAATGTTGATTAGTATATAGGCAAGGTTAGGGACTTAGTCCCTACTGAGTATTAGAAGGGCATAATATTTAAAAGGTAGTCAATGAGCTAATTCTATAGAGGGATTAGTGTTGCAAGTTAATATCGTGGTAGACTCATACTCAATTTATTATACCTTGACAAGAATACTAGGTTTTTTAGTTTAAGTGATGGCGTTTTTTAGTTTAAGTGATGGAAGACCTCCTAGCATTGATAGAAGAATGATGATCAATGAGAGAACTCCTAGACTCCACGGATCTTAATTCTTCAAAGGCCTAGCCTTGGATGGTGGTGGTGACAAAAAATGGAGGAAGGATAGAAGGTGTTTGATGGAATGCTCGAGAGGTACTATAGGGTTTGGCTCACTCCAAGGTAGTTGAAGGCCACTTCTAGGGTTTTTTTCTCAAGGTGGAGATAGGTATGGTGGTGGCCGAAAATAGCCAAGGGTGACTAAGGATGATATAAAAGCTCAAAGGCTCGCTCTATATTCAATATCCAAAGTATTTACAAAGAGGCTAGCCTAGGGTATTTATAGAAGGGAGGGTACATTTAGAATTACATTTGAGAGTGCATGACCAAGTAATGCAATCCAAATGCACTTCAAATGAAACCTAAATTAACCCTAGATGCTAATTGGTGGCCAAGGATGGAATCTTTGAGTTTGGTTAAGCTACATTTAGGTGCATGATAAGACCATGCAACCTAGGTGCCCTCCACTTGGGCCTAAGCCTTGCCAAGTCCAAAAATAAATCCAATGCCACCAAAAAACATGTCTAGACCTAGTTTCCAACCTTAATAAAATACCCTAGCTATAAAATAAAATCCTATAATCTAATACACCCCATAATACAAGGGTAAAATGAGAAATACAAGTAAAAATAAATCTTATGACTAAGACACCCAAAAATACAAGGGTAAAATAGGAAATACAAGAAAAATAAATCCTATGTATAAGGTATCCAAAATACAAGGGTAAAATAGGAAATTAAAGACAAGGGCAAAAATAGGAATAAATCCTATACTAATAAAAACTTAGGAGCTAAGACCCAAAAGTAGTCTTACTCCTCTTATGGTTTTCAAAACTAACTTATTCCATTGTCTCCTTCAATATATCACATCTTGGTCTTCTTTGCCTTAGTGTGATTTCATCATTAAGTGATGACATTCGAGAAACCATGTTGTTAGGAATTGATATCTCAATTTGGTTGTTGACCTAGTAGGTGTAAAAAGGTTATGTTGATTTAATAAGGTTAAACCACTTTGACTGCTCACCCAGTTGTAGAAGATATTCGTAGGTGAATGTGTGACGATGTATTAGTTGAGGTGTATGCATATGATGTGATGTGATGTGCTTGTTGTTCATATGCTTTGATGATTATATTGTTGAATGACATGGTTGTGATGTAAGTTTGAATTGATAGAGTTGTTTGCCTTTCAAACTTGTTGATGTCATGTTGATTGTTGTATGATGTGAACCATAAGATGCATGTTGGGTGGTTTACATGTTTTGTTGTTGGTAGTATAATTGCATTTCATCTATACATGTGTTATGTTGATTTGTTTGAAACCTAACTTACCCTTGCATGTTTTGTGGTAGTTGAATTGCAATAATCATGTTTACATAAAGCAGATACAGTTAGCTAGAGGTGGGCAAGAGCTTTGGTCAGCCATATTGTTGACATTGTAACCCTTGGCTATTTTTTATTTTTATTTTATGTAATTGCTTGATTGACATTTAGGGTCATATAGTATAGTTTTGAATTATTATATATACATATGTACTTGTTTATATTTTCAATTACTTTTGCAACACTTTATTGTGTATATATGTGCATGTGTAGTTTATTATAACATTTTTTAGAATCTATAACTATGTAAACTTTAGACAAGAGTTATATTTTTAGTTGTTAGTAAGTAATTTTATTAAGTGTAGAAATCATGACATCATTATACAATAAACTGTTTTCAATTTAAAAAATAATTAACATTATGGTTATGACAAATATAAACTTTCAAAATAAACATGAATTCTCAACCATTGTTTGTTAGTGAAAAAAAAAATTATATAATTTTTAGATATATATATCTACGTTAAATAGTTATAAAAAAAAAAGATATATTTTTATCATTTACGATAACTATACTCGATTAAATATGATCGTCTCTTGTAAAAAAGTTACTTCTCAAACAAAAAGTTATATTTATGAGATAGTAATAGACTAATAGTTAAAAAAAAGTGGCCCAAAGACAGTAGTCCATAACTCCATTTAAAAAAGTAGGACGTCTCATCAAAATGAGTCAATATATTTCGTTGAATTTGTGGCCAGCAACGTCACGGTCAACCAAAATTACTTTTTTGTTGAAGGGAAAGATCCATAATTAGGTATCACTCATACACCTTTATTTATGTTTTTGCCAATTTGTATTAACTTCACCATCTAACTATTTCTTAATTCTTTTTACGTGAACAATTAACCAACATACATCCTAGCACTATATAGTAAATTATTATTATTATCTCAATAAGAAATTGTTTTAAAAATCTAATTTCAAAGTAAATTTTTGTTTTTTACATCAAGTAAATTATTGATAACTCCTGTAAAAACATTTTTTTTCAGTTATACTTGAATACTTGAATTTTATTTATGGCCTGAAAATATATATATATATATATATATATATGTGAAAATGATAATAGTTATCATTTTTTATTTCAAAATGTGAGGATAACTTACTTTGATATATATATATATATATATATATAAAATAATTAACTAATTAATCTTAACGATCCAACTAATGTTAGTTTGGTTTAATTTATTTATAGTTACTGGATTTGTAAAGGACAAAACCTCAAAACAATTATAGTTTTTTTTGTTGCTATATTTATTAAGTCTCAATCTTCACGCATCCGTTTGTACATATATAAGGTACACTAAAAAAAACATACAAGGTACAACATTAATAGTTGCTTATTCTTAGTACTCATATTATTTCTAAAGGTGGGTGTCTAATCCATTCTACATTTACACTATTTTATTATTATTTTTTTCTTGTAACAAGTATCTCCTAATTCTTTGGACCAGAAATTAATTTTACTGTATTGTGACTATTTCTGACCTAACGAATTTTGGCATATAATGAAGATCAAAATTATCAAAATTATAATAAATAAAGATACAAGATGGCATATTTGGAGAAGTCTAACAAAACTTTGAAATGCATATAAAATAATTAACTTGAGTTGGCTATGAGATTACAAGGAGTTGAGTAATACAAAGAATTCTAAATTTAAATTTTATTACTCAAATTCTATTGTTGTCATTATAATTTTTATATGAAAAAAAATATTAGGAATTGAAAATCAAGAATTTATTTTGACATTAAAATGAAGGCTTTAAAAATAAAAAACCAATGACACTTTGTTAATATTAAATTTGACCTGAAATAATCAATAGTTCAAATTCTTTATAATTAATTTAAATGATCTTCATCTTAAAAAAATGATTTTGTTTGGGTATAGATTATCGATTTGATGAAGCTAATTGGACTGGCACGTGCACGTACAAGGGTACAAGCTAGAGGTGAGATGGAGGCCCAAGTAACTATCTAAGAAAACCCAGTGTTAGAGGATGAGAAGAAGCAAAATAGTACAAGTCAAAGATTGCCCTCCTTATTATCGACCAAAAAAGAAAGCTATCCTCCATCACCCAATAATTGTAGTTCATCATAACTTTTTTCATAAAGTAAGGACCTCTTACCTTTACACTATTTATTTGAGAGTAAATAAAAAAATAAAAATAGAAATATTAAATTTTCATTATATGTTTAAGAATAGAAATAGGATTTTTTTTAGTGAAATATACGATAAAAAATAATAACATTTTTCATTTTTTACTAAATTTTTTTAGTTTTATTACATATGATAATATACAAATATAATATTAATATATATAAGTATATATATAAAAAAAAATTAACATAACTAAGTTATTGGATTTATAATACTAGTTATTCATAATGCAAATAACTATTCATAAATTTACCAATTCCACCTCATTTTAAAATTTATTTTATCCTCTATTTATTTGAGTGTTTGTAAAAAAATATATTAAAATTTCCTTTTTAAAAAAGAAATGGGAATATATTTTTAAAATATATTTGTGTGTGGGAATCTACAATCAAAACTCTCCCCGCCCTTCCGATTATATCTCTTTCTTTATATATATATATATATATTTTTATTTCTTTTTTTTACAGAAACGCAAGACTCCTCTCCCCAAATGTGAGCGAAGAGATTTCGTGTAATCTTCCTGTGCAGTTAAACATTGAAGCAGAGATTCAGATGAAATGAAGAAAATAAAGGAGAGGAATGGGGATGGGATGGTGGTACTAGGCTGACTTAGTGAGGAAGCGGAAGCGGAAGCCGAGCCGAGGTTGACGCTACCCGCAACCCGAAAACAGCACGCGCGGCTGCACGTGCATACACGTAAGAGTAAGAGTCTCAAGTTTCAAGTCTCAAGTCTCACAGTGGGACCAAACAAAAAACAAATCACGGTTAGCATAACTAAAGTAGCCTTAAACGACAAAAGAGTCGCGTATATAACTACCCCCATTCCCAAACGGACCATTCACTCTACTCAGACGCACCCATTTATTCCTCTCACCACCAAACCGTGACACTCTCTTTGCTTTCTTACCTTCCATTCTTTTATTCTCCCCCACGCTCTCTACTCTCTTCCAAACAATTAACACTCAATGGACCTCAGTAAACTCACCCTACAGATCTTCTCCAACCTCGAGCACAAATGGCTCTCACATTGTAAAGCCCCCAACAAAACCCGCATTCTCAGCATTGACGGCGGAGGAACCACCGCCATTGTCGCCGGACAAGCTCTCCTCCGCCTCCAGGATCAGATCCGTCTCCACACCTCCGATCCCCACGCTCAGGTCGCCCATTTCTTCGACATCGTCGCCGGCACCGGCATTGGCGCCATCCTCGCCGCCATGATCACCGCCGCCGACGCCTTCGGCAGGCCGCTCTACACCGCCACCGAAGCCGTCCGTCTCGTCTCCGAGAGGAACTCCGAACTCTACAAGCTCAAATCCGGCGGCGTCTTCCGCCGCCGCCGGAGATTCTCTTCCCGGAGCATGGACAATGTGCTGAAGCAAGTGTTCCAGAGGAAGGAGGACGGACGGTTGTTGACCTTGAAGGACACGTGTAAACCGCTGCTTATTCCTTGCTTCGACCTCAAGAGTTCCGCGCCGTTCGTGTTTTCACGAGCCGACGCGTCGGAATCTCCGAGCTTCGACTTCGAGCTCTGGAAGGTGTGCCGCGCCACGTCGGCAACGCCGAGCCATTTCAAGCCGTTCGACTTCGCCTCCGTGGACGGCAAGACGTCGTGCTCCGCCGTGGACGGCGGTCTCGTGATGAACAACCCTACGGCGGCGGCCGTGACGCACGTTCTCCACAACAAGCGCGATTTCCCGGCGGTGAACGGCGTGGAGGATCTCCTGGTGCTTTCCTTGGGGAACGGTTCCTCGGGCGCGAAAGCGTGCGAGAGTGGCACGTGCTCGACGCCGTCGGTGGTTGACATTGTGCTGGACGGTGTTTCCGAGACCATTGACCAGATGCTAGGGAACGCCTTCTGCTGGAACCGTACCGATTACGTCAGAATCCAGGTACGTGAAGTGAATGGTTTATACGGTTCCACCTCTGATCTCTGCGTTCTGCTAAGAATTCAGATTCAGAAACTGACGGCGTTTGTTGTTTGACAGGCGTTCGGTTTGGCAATGAGGCAGGAGGAGGTGCTGAAAGAGAGGGGATTGGAGTCGTTACCGTTTGGCGGGAAGCGGTTACTGACGGAGACTAACGGAAACAGAATAGATAGCTTCGCGCAACGTCTTGTTGCTACCGGAAAACCAAGCCCGCCGTCTAGTCCCTGCAAGGATTCCGCCGTCAACCCACTCGCTAACGGCCGCTAGTTTTTTTCTTTTTAACTCGTGTTTCTTTTTTTTTGATTTTAACGCTGTAAACTGTAACTAGTGTTTTTAACTAGTTATGCCAGCTGTCCTAGTTAATAGCATTTAATTTACTACCACTGCCTCCTCTATTTACTTGTCCTGGTAGCTTCTTCTCCAATTTTCCTCGCATGATTTTGATTATGACTATGATTTCTTTGAGTGTAGAGAGGCCTAGTGGAGTAATCATGGGCTTAAGTTTTACCCAACACAGACACAACCATTGGATTTCCTGTTTAGTTTACCGTTTTCCACTTTCCCCTTTTTTTATGATCAATATCTTCAACTAACTATTTATTATTATTATTTCATCACATTATTTTTTTCTCTTATTTGTCTCAAGATCTATACATACTCTGAATTCTGAAAATAACATGCTAGTATTTCTCTAAAATGGCTGCGTGATTTATGGAGATGGAGACCAGATTAATTTAGTCTTAAAAATTTGAAAGGCTGGAGCTGGAGTGTTTCTTGGTTCATGTTTCAGAACCTATATATCGTTTTCTTTTGGAAACTGAATATATTATATGGTACATTCAACATTTATACGATACTTCCATGTAGAAGTATAGCAGAACCACCTTGATTGAAATACCATATATCAATATTTCCATATTGTAAACATGTTTTATGCGTTGTCGTTTATTTCTCGAGTTGAGTGCCACCTATTTGGGCCTGACTCCTGAGTTATGTATGGATATGGTCGGGACCAATCATACTCTCATACTAGTAGTCAATGACGAATGCCATGGCCGAAAGTGAAGGAGAAGGCAAAAATATAAAATGATGACGTTTCCGGTTTATGTCATGTCACACTTATGATGCATAAGATGCCACGCATTTGTGATGTAAATAACAATATAATGCAATGTTGGCATGAAATTGACAATATCTTAATTTCAACTAAAAAGAAACTTGGTAAATGAACAATTTTAAGCAGAAAATATTCTGACTAAAAATGTTCTTTTCAACGAACCGTCGTCATGATTTCTTTTGCGAAAACTACCTTTTCTTTACTTTCAACTTATGTTTGATGTTTGAACAAATGAAAAGAAAACATGCAGGATTCGAGTAAAACATTTGAAATTTAAATTTAAAAATAAAGAGAAATTTTGAAAAAAACATTATACTTATTTTCTCCTTGCCTGAATATATATATATTTGTTTTATTTTCTTCCATCCCTACTTTGTTTCTCCCCATCCAAATCATATAACATTTTCCTCAGGACCTGATCTGGTGGTTGAATTTGGTGATTGCATGTACTCTTCTCTCCCACTGTTGGCATCACTTAACCATCCGTTGGTCGCTTGTGCTATGACATTAAACAACCTGTAATATCTGTTCCTTTTATGTCACTGTCTTCGTTGGTTTTTCTTGTGGCAGCTTTTCTATATTTTCCAAAACTTGTTAATTGCGGGGGAAAGCTTTACAAGTTAGGTAGCAGAGACACGACATATATATACTCTCTCACAACTTGCTATCATTAACTGAACCGATTATGACATTAAGGTAACTTAAAGAAAAGATTCACGGCTTAGCTCCTTAGCCAATATAAATCAGTGTTCAGACACTGGTTTTTAGCCTTCCTATTTGATGTAGACCGGCACACACTTCTGAGCACAATATGATATCGGATTCCACGACATTCACGGTATTATGTTCTAGTTTTCATCGAGAGGGTAGTGGGGGCTTCGTGAGGAAGGGGGACCCTAATCTTTCTCAGCAACTATGCTTCGTGAAAGAAACATAAAATTAGTTTTAAGTTAAAATTATTTATTATGCGAAATATTTATCCATTTCGCCGATCCCTTTCTGTTTTTGCTGAGTGTAAGTACCAAAATGAAATTTAAAAATTTAGTGCTTACGCCCCTTAATTTATGCAAATCTTTAAAATTTCCACGACTGCAAGTTAAATAATAAATTTGGGGGTCCATCTTAGATGCTAATAGTAATAACCTCACTTTCTTCTCCTATTCTCATTTTTTATTGATGATAAAAAAAAATGCGAACATGTACTGCTCATGACTATATTTGGTTAGTCATAAAAAGATAAGGGTTCATCCTGCTATGCAGTTTCTCAAACCCTGACTTTGAGAGTATAGTAATGTTGGAGAAATTAATGGCAATTGGACCACTTTTTCAGATTTTTATAGTGTGTTTGGATAGTTACTTGAATCAATTTTGACCCGACATGGTAAAAATTTGAAAAGGTGAAAATAATTACTCATTGCTTTAGTCCACTTGGAATTCAAATTAATTATGATTCAAATTGAATCTAATCTAGAAACACTTAATATAACCGCAGCATCACAATTTAATGTATCTATCTTTACTTTTGAATATGATCAAATATTGTTAAATCATATCATCTTCTATTTTGAATGCTTTAAATCGATTTTTTTTTACAAGAGTTAAACGCCCAAACTAAAAATCATAGTAAAAATCATTTCTTTTCAAAAATAATTTGTTCAATAATTCATAATATAGAATAGTTTAGAATACTTTGTAAATCGGTGTAAATAGATAAATCAAAATTCTTATTAAATATTAAAAAAAAATTATTCATTTTTATTAGTATTTAATAGTATTTGATATTTATAAAGATTTTGTAATGCTGATAGAGTCAGGATTCATGATTCATTAATTGAATATTTTACTTTCTTATAATCTTTCTTTTCCTAGAAAAATCATAAAAGTAAGATATAGTAAAAATGTCTGTCAATAAATCTATTTGAATCTTAGGGAAGGACTAAAGACATAGACACTCTTTGATAAACTCAAATTCTTTTTAGGTAACACATTGACTATTTAATTAACTTATCTAAAAATATGTTTATAACTCACAATAGAAATCTTCTACGACACGCTAACTACTTTATTGCAAAAAGAATAATAAACATAATTTTTATTACACCTTTTTTTAAGAATTGAACCACAATTGTCTAAATCGATTAAATAAGTGTTGACTTTAAAAATAAATTTATCCACTTTAAATTCAATTAATACAATTAAATTTAAGTTAATTCTATTTGGATATTGGATTTTAATTTTGAAAATCTAACCTAACTTATTGATATATTTTTAATTTATTAATATATATCGTAAAAAATAAAGTTGATAACTTAAAAAATACAGTCATGGTATCACTGTGTTTACTCACAGGTCAATATATACTATGTACTTCAATAATAACGAAATTATTGTCAAGTTTTATAAAATTACTCCCTCCATTTTTTATTTATAATCATTTTGTCAGAATTTGTTGTTTTTTTTTATTGTCATTTTACTAAAATTAATGACTTATTAATTTTTTTTTCTCATTTTTATCCTTGATAATTAATGTATGTTTACTGAACAATCTACATATTTATTTTAATATCTACTTATTGTTTATCCAACTACCTATATAAAGTTAATGTTACATTTAAAAAGGCAATATATTTCTAACAAAATACTATAAAAAAAATAGAAGATAAAATAAGAAAATAAATAATAAATATTTTTGAAAACTAAAATATCAATCACTTCCTTAAGTCTCGTGCAAAACCTTAAACACGAATAAAACACGGAGAGAGTATTAGTTATTGAATTTCCTTATCATTCTCCGGTAACTACACTTACAATTAGGGGTGTATCTAGGCGAGTTAATACAAGTTTCTTTTTGTCAGTTATTGTCTCTTGAAATTTTAATATAGTCATTTATTTAATGTTATATTAAATTTGATTAAGCCCAGAAATTCATATTTGATTAAGTTGTCAATATATCGATATAAGCATCCGTGATTTTTATTAAAAAAATGTAATCCTAGATAAATTATATATATATATATATATA